GAACCCGTCCAGAAGACCTACACAATTTTTTTCTTTTAGATGATCAAATACTTATTTCACACAATAAAATGGAAATTAATTATTTAAAAATCATACATTGTATTTTTCTGGATTTTTGTTTTAGATTCCATCACTCACAGTTGAAGAGTACCTGTGATAAAAAATTAGTCATCTACAAGCTTTGCAAGTGGGAAAACCTGAAAAATCAACAGTGTATCAAATACTTGTTCTCCCCACTGTATGTCTGGGAGGAYTAAAAATTGAATTACTGGGGTTGGGATTTTAGAAAAGTACATATGCTTACGTACTCATACAGCTCTACACCCACAGAAGCTTTACGGGTGGAAAAAAGGTCTACAATTCAACAAGTACCAGATTTCCTGTTACCAAAATGCTCGCATCACTTTGAGCCTTCAGCGTCTAAATTTGATGTGACTTATAAATAAAATACTTATAAATAAAACCATTTATTACAGTCATTTACATAAAATCTTAAAATCCAGAGCAGTGTAAAGGAGATCTCAGTTCTGTCTCAAAAAGTTGTTTTCTTAGTTTGCTACAAGTCAGCTCAAAGCTTGACAAATCAACAAAAACAAATTCCAATTTCTGGTACAAGTACGACATTAAAAAAAGGAAGTATCAAAACGGAACTCCACCCTGTCAGGAAATGCCTGTTGACCAGTTATACTGAGTCTTGGTTTAGGACTAAGATGTGAATTGAGTTTAGGTTAGGTTTAGGGTCAGGGGGTCAGGGTTAGGCTATGGAAATGACCAGTAAATGAATGGAAGTCAATGCAAAGTCCCCATGAGGATAGAAGAACAAACATGTGTGTTTACTTGTTTCTGCTACAGAGTGAGGACCAAGATCTCTTTTTTAACCAACAAAATGAGGTCATTTTTAGGAAGAGAGAACATTTTCCTGATCCTCACTTTATTGCAGCTCTACTGCGCTTTAAGGGTCACCCCGAGGGGGAATAAACATTTCCATCTGTCTTTGACTCTGGTCTCAAAAGACCTTCCTCAAAAGAGACATTTTATTTACTTTAATAAACAAAATAATATTGTTCTTTATATTTTGGATTTATACTTTCTTTTAACTACAAGTTATTATCATTTTATAAATCAAAGTTACATAATGAAAAGAATGACAGTCTATCTTCTTGTGTGGGAACGTGCAACAACACGTTTCACATCATTAGATTAGGAAATCTGATGTGTTCAAATGTCAACAAAAACATTTCTTTTCCATCTCCTCACCTCTCAGCACGCCAAATTCACATACTTCATTCCTCTTTTTGGAGAGTGGGTGTGAATACAAATGGGACAGTAGCCCCACCCCCTCGACCCCCACCCCTCCACACACACACAGAGCAGGCAGCAACAGCAGCAGAGACGGCGTGACGTGTTGGGAGAGCGTAATGCCACTGAGCCTGGAGCTGCCTTTCAGAGCACACACACAACTGCTGGCTCTAGCTCCCCGTTGCTCCTGGTCAGCGTCCTCCTCCCCCCGCCGTTTACAGCCACAAAACAAGAGCACGAGGGGCCGATGAACGAGGAGGGTGAAGAGAGAGAAAGGATGGGACCAGACTGGAGCTAGCTTGTGGATGGAAGAACAGCAATAAGAAGAGAAGACGAGCAGAGAGATGCGACACTTATCATTTAGACACGAGGTGAATCTTCAAACTGCAGCTGCCTTTATCTACACACGACGACTGAGAAGACAACAAAAATGACTCAAGGTTGCAGCTAACTGTCAGCGACAGACTCTTCTTCTTTTACACAGAGGAAGCAGCAGCACGATGCTGTTACATAAAAAAGAAAAAAAATTTCAAGTCTCCAGGGACAATGCACCAAAACAGATGGAGGGATTGCAACACGAGCTTCAGTTGACACATGTTCAACCCGTGGATGTAGAAGCAACCACTGCCGGGAGCACTTCGTTACACTGAGATCACCAGAACGGTGATGAAAAACAACAATTCAAAGCAGCCGCAGGAGAACGGGAAGGTTTGGAGATGAAGGTGAATACATGAGGCTGCAGGACACAGACTGTAATTTATCACACACACAGCAAAGATGGCAACCAGCAAGAAGCAAGTTACTAGCTTAAAAACAGGTGAGCGTGTAATTTAAATACTTAAACCAGAGAAGCAAATCACCGTCACACAAAATAAACAACTATTGATGTACAAATCGAGTTATGGAGGGTGTGCCTGAATGAAGGAAGCTTCTGTTTTTTCAGCTGAAAAATCTCAGAAAATGGACTCTTCAGGTTTACAACCCTCTGTCTCATTTCATAGACAACTGTACAATTTAGTAAATAAAACAACAACAAAGACTCTACTACAGACTGCTGGTGGACAACAGTCAGTTTGTTCTCAAACGTAAAGTTCATATTGTTACTTTTAGCTTTCTGAAAGCAACACAGGAAGTTCCTGCTCCACAAACTGAAGCTGATCAGAGTCAGGTTTATGTAAGGAGAGTTTTTTTATGAATTTATTACATGAGGACGTTAAAAGAAAATGACAATTTGTTTTGTCCTGATATCTGACCATTAGGACATTAAAATGATAATATTCAAGTTCCATCCCTGTAATTAAATCTGCTATTTAAATAAATTGAAAAAATATATTCAAATCTGACTCTATAAAGTGCAAACAACATGTGAACACAACTTTAGGCTATTTTGTACAAAGACCATATTATACAGTTCAGAGGTTTGAAACCAAACGTTTCTGACACCTCAAAGTGCAGAAGCACACAGTTACTGTTTTTTAACAAGTCAAAACAGAAATATTTGCATCAGTTAATCAACAACATTCTCTGCTGTTTGGTATCACAACAAAACGCTGAATGAAAAAAAACCTTACATTAATAATGTTAAAAACAGAATAAGTGTGAATCACAACTAAGATACAATATAATGAAATGCTTTGCAGAGATGCTGCAAAGCATTTTTGCTTACATTACAAAACAATGAAGCATTGCCAAAGATGGCTCTATTTTGGAAATACTGTTTGCTTCACAATAACACTTCATAACACTTCATGCAGAATGTAGAATAAATGTTTACACATCAGCGTGAGGACACCTGCATTAAAATCAGCTAACTTAAATACGTTAATGCCTCAGTTAAACAGTTTAATGTGCTTCAGGATGTGGTAAACGGTACGAACAGCAAATGTAAAAACAGTATCAAGTTATAAAATGGAGAACCACAATAACCACTGCAACATTTTGGAGATGGGGGTTTTTGGCAGCTACCTACTTTGACTTGGTTGTGCTGGGACTAGTCCTGTCAGAGTTTAACCATTTCTACAAAATCAACCTGTTCAGAGAGTTACCGTACAAAAATAAAAATTATATATGTGTGATAACCTTTCTACACCAAAGCTTCTAAACATAATAACTTCTACCTTTTATCTCATTTTACAAATCTTCAATTCAAGAAACTGCCGGAAACAAATTCAGACCACCTCAGGCACACGGTTGTTGTGAAATATTAAAAAACAGGTTTGTGGGTTGCTTATCATTATTTTAAAAATGACTAGACYCAAAACCTCTTCTCAAAGTTTCCTACATATTCTTTTAATGCTCTAACAGAAAAGCTCTACGTTAATTTTATTATTTATAGTAATACTGGACATTAAAAAGACCTGGTAACTGTGTGATGTATGGTTACTTCAATGTACTTTATCTTAAATTTGTTTAACGAATTCATAAGACAATTTGGGGATGAGCTGTTTAAGGAGAAACACAATTCAAATTTGTTGGTAATTAATTTTAATTAATTAGTTACCATTTTAAAAATTTTCAAATTGTGTATGCAGGTAACCAGGTAACAAAATTTAATGTTTTTTTGTTATAATTGTTCCAGCAGGGAGGAGTGGGTCAAAGGTTTGTGTCAAAAACAGGACCATGGATGTAAAAGCATCATTTAATGATCCAGAAACAACTTGGTATGTGACTACCAGGTCCCAAATAAATAAATAAATAAATAAATAAACAAATAAATAAAATAAACAATGCAGTAATTGATAACATAACAAGGTAGTAGTAATTCCTATATATGTAAGTGCTGGGCATAGATAAAAAATTTTTTAATCATGCTTAATCTCAAGATTTTTTTGTGATTAATCTCACTATTTTTCTTTTTTATATACAAACAATCACTTTACTATGGCTGAATACGTAGGTTTGTATATTGCAATGCACTCCATGTGTAACACATTATGCACACAGTTTTTTCTTTTTTATCTTCTTATGGCTTATTTCAGGGCTATTCAACAATGGGTTTATTCATCTCTTAAGCTCAAACCCCCGGTTTTCTACTTTAATTTCTCTAAGTTCTTTTAGTTCAACATAGACACGTCTATCTGCAGAAACATCAGAATCTTTGCTACAAGCTGGTAAAAACCATTTCTACGCCCACTCAAGACAGCTAAAAATCTAAGCAGTTGAATATAAAAATATAAAACTGAAAATAAAATTGGTTTAAAATTTTGGCAAATCAGAGATGTCAAATATTATTTGGGTTAAATAGGAGGCATACTGTGTTATTTTTGTTTTGATACTGTTTAATTATGATTACTTTTATAGGGTTCTGTACTGTATGATGTATTCATAATTAAATACAGTAAAATAAACTATTTCAAAGGTAACAGATCTTTGTAATACTTGGGTTATTTACATAATGACTTTAATTGCTGGATGTTCGGCCCCTCAGCTGTTAATTTACAGTTACTGTGGCCCCCGGAGCAATTTAGTTGAATAGCCCTGGCTTATTTTATTTTATTTATTTATGTTTTGCTGACAACTGTGACCTTAGTATCTATCTTTCATTCCTCGTGTAGTACTGAAAAACCAGAAAAAAATAAAATAAAATTTAAATCCTTGAATTCTTGATTTAACCTCATTATTCTGCACAAAATTTAATTGACTGAAAGACGTTTGGAGCATTTTTAGGTCCTGTTTTATATTCAGAAAGGGGCAATGCATTAAAAAAAAACTTTTTAAACAAATAAAAGCAAAGCAAGCCGGTCTTACTTTTTCCCCAACACGCTTCTCCACCTCGTCTGCAGAACATCCCTCTGTTTACTCTGGTTTTAAACTGAAGTGATATTTCAACCTTGAACTGCTCCAGTGGTGACACGGTTTAAAGTTGCAACGCTTACAGAGAACTTTACTTCTTTCCAGTCCACCATCGGGAAAAGTTTTAAAATAAAAAATGCCCTGAATAATCCGGTGACTTCTGCCATGTTTCTGCCGCGGCTGCAGCTCGGTCAGGTTCATGAGAGCGGCTGGGAGTTGCCAAGCAACGGCTCGACAACAAAGGCTCTCATTGGATGAGACACGGGAGGAAAGCCATCTAAACCAATAGTGATCAAGATCCCGCCTCCTGGTCGTGACCACTGAGATTGTGTGTCTCTGTGTGTGTGTGTGTGTTAGCTGCCCAGTGAACAGAGTTCCYACGGAGAAATATTAATAAATAAATAACTGCGTTAAAAAAATTGCCGTTAAGCGTCAGCTGCATTAACGCGATAATGTATTAACGTGCCCTGCACTAATTAATATATAAATTAAGGCTGGGCGGTATGAATTCAAATTCATATCACGGTATAAATTGGATCCTTCACGGTAACGGTATATATCGCAGTAGAAAATTATCAAAAGCAAATTTAATGTAATTTTTAGAGCATTTATTTTGCAGAAAACTGTAATCATAATTAGCCAGTATTTTTGCTGTAGTGCAAATGAACATAACAGAAGTACAGAAGAATGTTTTATATATATATTGTAAAAC